GAGTCTACCGTTGTCGATGGAACAGTCCGTTAAAAAGGTGTCACATCATTCCTCATCGGATAAGAATCAGACCTGCGGCAGTTTTCCATGCTTTTTTACCCTATTTAAAGGGTACTAAGGTAAAAGGGTAACGTAACGTAAAAGGGTAACTAAAAGGGTAAAGGGTACTTGTGACAGACCTGCGTTTGTTCGATGCCCAAAAAGTTCCGTAAGAAGTTAGTTTTGTCAGAAGTCAGTGCTCATCTGGTGCTCATGCTCTGAAGGTTTTGTCGGTGTTGTGGTCTGAAGTAATTTACCACAGCAATGAGCATGGCGGTCAGGGCGTAATGACAACAGAGCGCCTGCCGGCTGAACACCCGGCAAATTTCCCACAACCACTGATTAGTGGGTCGGCACGAACCTCTGCTGCTCCATAAGACTCTCAGGCTCTCGGCTCCTGAGCCTTCAGAGTAAGCCCTGACTTGATGCAATCCAGCCCAGAGGCGGCGCCACGAGGACACGGAGGGGGGGGGGGGGGGGAGTGTCCTCCGCTTCGGTGATTCGGAGATGCATCGCTACTTTTATGCTATTGCATGAAGAAAGTGGACCTTAAATGCTCCCTTTCTTCTCCAGTCCTCGCACTGTCCCCTGCCCAACCCTCGGTGGCCCTTGATCCAGCTTGAGCTCAAAACACCTTTGTCATCCCAGCACTATTTCTCACGACCCAAGCCGAGACAGCAGTCGCGTGATGCAGGTAATGTCCTCCCGAAATAGCCAGACTCGGGGTCGTGACTCCACCGTTTCGACCCGCCTCACACTACCCCATAGGGTCAGTTGGGGTCAACCATGGGGTCAGTCAAGGGGTCAGTTAGGGTCACCTCTGCAGCAGCCTGGCAACCCAGAGGTCGCGCGGACCTGCAGCATACTCGCCCTGGCGCTGGCCGGGATCATCTGACCCGCCACTCAAAAATGGGCTTGAGGGCATGTACCCTTTTATTTGGTCAAAATGGTGTCCTGCCCCGCCATTCTCGACCGATCTCCCAAGGCACGTGGTTTGCACCTTCTCGCTAAAGATGCGATTTCGTGTCCGATTGTATCTGGCTAGGTGCCCATTTGCTCCACCCATACAATCTCTACGACGTGGTTACACCCAGGGATGTGCCGTGGTCCGACGCAATGTCTGCAGATCTCCAAATGTCGTGCACAGCAATGCCTTGTACAGTTCAGGGGTTCACAGAACTGGGGCAGGTTTATCCGCAGGTGGACGCGCGCTCTCCGGGGATCTGTGCATGTGAAGTCTTCAGTAAGCAGATGCACGCTTTAAAGCACGCCTCTTGTATCCAAAGCGGTCTCATATGTACCAGCGACGTGGGTGCACGTGGACCGTGGCTAACGGGTCCCAGCGTCGGCGCAGACGGCATGGACGGCACCGAGCGCCTGTATCGAGCACGGCTCTTCCAAGTCGGCGAGGACATTATAAACTGGGAGCCGTTATGCTGAAAATAATCGAGCTTCATTATACGAGGAGATACCAGTAAAGCGGCGTCATCGAGCCAGCACTCGCATTGGTGTTTGTTGAGCCATGTAGATTCCTGATCTGCCTGTCGCACAGATTCAAAACGTCGAGTTCCATCAACAAAACCTATTGGCGTTTGATGACAGTGTTTAACCAGTATCTCATGGCATATATCATAGGTTCATTTAATTCATCATGAGGGGCCGTGACTGATGGGACCAAAAAACCAGCAGCTGAAGGCTTTCTGGTTTGCATTAGCAGGAGCTCAAGGCCTTTCTGGCTTATATTAGCTGAGCCCCGGACCTGAGGCAATGGGAGGTGTTTAGGGAGCCGTTTATCACTGTACAGAGTCACTAGGTAGGACAATGCTCACTGTCTTTAATTACATGGGTCTCAGATTATATCTTACTCGGACAGGAGCATTGCACACCGCACCGTCGTGAGCAGCTCGACAGCGCGACACCGGCAGACTGTCGGTGAGAGCCGCTGCTCGAGGCCCGACTGTCGGTGAGAGCCGCTGTTCGAGGCCCGACTGTCGGTGAGAGTTGCTGCTCGAGGCCCGACTGTCGGCGAGAGCCGCTGTTCGAGGCCCGACTGTCGGCGAGAGCCGCTGCTCGAGGCCCGACTGTCGGTGAGAGCCGCTGTTCGAGGCCCGACTGTCGGCAAGAGCCGCTGTTCGAGGCCCGACTGTCGGCGAGAACCGCTGTGCGAGGCCCGACTGTCGGTAAGAGCTGCTGTTCGAGGCCCGACTGTCGATGAGAGCCGCTGCTCGAGGCCCGACTGTCGGTGAGAGCCACTGTTCGAGGCTCGACTGTCGCCGGGAGCGCTGCTCGAGGCCCGACTGTCGGTGAGAGCCGCTGTTCGAGGCCCAACTGAGGCGGAGTCGTTCCGGCCTCGGGCCGTAGCTTGGATCCAGACCCCGGGCTGTCGGTCTAACGCATTAACGGGATATTAACCGCCGGTGGCAACGATTCCCTCGCGCAGTGGCGGATATAAGAGCCGCAATTCAACGTTCTAACCAGTTCCCAAAATCGCCTCGGGATTTTGCTTGGTTTTGCCGCGATGATTGCATTAAAGCACGTTTAGCCACCTAATAAAGGGTGTGTGCCACTAAAGGTGTGGCTTGAACACTGCTTAGATTTATTGGAAAAGCCAACAGCATGCCAATTTTGCCCGACTTTCTTCTACCTCTTGGGAAGCTGATGACCTCGTTGATCCCCCCTCCCCCTGGATCCACCCCCACCCTCGCGTGCACGGGTAAGTGGCCCTGGCCCGTGCACACGCGTGCGCGCCGACACAGCTGTGTAGACATCAGAACGCTGCTGACAGCCGGGGATGACTCAATTTGGCCGAGGTGCAGGGAGGGGGGGGGAGGGGGGAGGCCATCCGCACGCCGCAACTTATCGATCGTCTGGGCGCTGTGCGAACCAAGAACACCGATGACGCACCGGCACCGCTGCTGGTGCCGCACGGCGCAGCGGCGGCGCTCACAAGCCAGTGTCGGTGCGGGAACAGCTGAGAACGGTGGACAGTGACGTCTTGCACGTGCTCGTGCGGGACTGGCGAGGAAACGGCGCGAGGAATAGCCGCTGTACGACAGCTTTAGGAAGAAAAAGCTGCTGTATTACAGCTTTAGAAAGAAATAGCCGCTGCACTACAGCTCTAGAAAGAAATGGCCGCTGTACTACAGCGCTAGAAAGAAATAGCCGCTGCACTACAGCTTTAGAAAGAAATAGCCGCTGCACTACAGCTTTAGAAAGAAATAGCTTTGTTCTCTTATGCACCACACTGATAGTGTGAGAGTCCACATCTGAATGCATGTCTCATGCATACACATCTCATTACAATCACCGGTCTGCCCAGTCCATGTCGCATACAGCACCGCGCCACTTGAGCCGCTCTGGTCACCTCCAGGCGGGCGCACCGGCCGGCGCCTCTTCCCCGCCGATACCTCACGTCCCAGACATGCCGCGTCTGGCTCCAGACGAGACTCCGGACCGCGCGGCACACGCCGGAGACGGGCGCATCCGGCGCTATCACACGGCAGCTGACGGGCTGAGCGCGGCGGCCGTGTCGCGGCCGTCGGAGCGCAGCTGCGGCATGTGGGGCCGCTCGCCGGCCGGCCGATCCGCGCCGCGCTGAGCCCGCTACCTTCCACGCTCCCACGGCTTAATGGAAAGGTCCGCGCCGCCGGCGGCGACGGCTGATTTGTTTTCAGCTATGTGGAAAGTCCGCCGCGCGCCGCGGCGGCCGGCCGTTCTGGGCCGCTGCGTCACCCGCGGCGGCCCGCTTTTAATTGGGCCGGGCCGTTTCCGGGTCGAGCACGGCGGAACGGAGAGCGATCTCATTGGCCGTGGCTCACCCGCCCAGCCCGCGGTTTCGCGGCCGAACAAGCGGGCGAGCGAAACCACAGCGGAGGGCGGTGAAGCCGCGCCGGAAGCGCCGCCCGCCGCTGCGCCGACCGCCAGACTCGCGCCCGCCGTGTCACCATCGACCATCGCTCGGACGCACCTCAATAATGGATTGGTCACGCCGGTGAATGGCAGCGGCGGCGGCCGGCCGGCCGCGTGCATTCATGCATTCCTCCTCCGCTGCCGCCGAGGATAAATGGCCGGTGGCCGCACAACTGGTAGCTGCGCATCCCCACGCGCGGACGGCGGCGCAGCAGATGAAAGAGCCGCTCACGAGCGGCCCTCATCGCCCGCGGTGGTGCCCGCCGAATGCCGGCCGCCCGCGCGGCTCGTAAGCGATGCGGACGCAGCGCGCGCGCCCCCCAGCGACCTATTTGCCTGGCGGGGGCCGGGCGACAGACCGCTGATGGCCTCCGATAACTGCCCGGGGCGGTGCCGGCCGACCCGCAAGGAACATCGCCACTAACAACATCCGTCTCGCTGGGGGGCACCGGCCGAGAGCCGCCGGGCGCGTCTCCACGTGGATGCGCATCATGCCGCGCGCTGATTGGTCACTGTTTGAGAGACGCGCGGTGATTCGTGGACAGTACATATCCCACGTGGGGTACGCGGTTTGCCTACGTGGGCGCTGTGATTGGCCACCACCCGTTGCTACTCCACGTGGGTTTCTGCTATTGACTCGCGAACGGTAATGATGTGTCCTGTTACGGCAAGGTTCGCTGTGGCGTCGACGCAGGATCCTCTCCCTTTTTACGTTATGAATGTTTCCTGGATATTATTCCATAATGGGCGAAACCGGAGCAGACGCGTCGGCTAGGAGGCGGCTCGCGCAGTGCGCAGCTCGCAGCGCCGCCGCCGGCGCCGACCAGCCCACGGATGCGGTAGTGGTGGTTTGAAATCAATAGGTGGCGCTGTAGAGCGTAAATGGGCGTATAAAACGTTATTGATTGCAGTGGGCAAGTAAACGTGTTGGGCAAATCGGTTAGCTGTTGAGCGGGGTGCGGCGCGCGGCGGCGGCGCGCGGTCGACAGACGCGCGCGAGCTGCCGGCACGTGCGAGTGCGGCGCGGCGGCGGCGGCGGCGAAGTTGGCGCACGCCGAGCGCGGCGGGCGGCCGGGTGCGGAGAGTGGTGCACGTGGGATGCGGGCCGGTGGAGCATGTTTCCAGGCATGAACCCAGCGGCTGCGGCGGCGGCGGCGGCGCGGCATACGGTGAGTTGGGGAAACGGCGTGAAACTGCTTGTGATGGCGTTCGGGAGACGGACAGGCGTGGTGAAAGGTGGTGAACATGGGGCGCCGGTGACTGTGAATGTCCGCTGTGTGTTGCTGCGTGAGTTTTGTTAGGACGTTTGTGGAGAATATGAGATGTTGGTGCTTCGTTGCAAATTTCTAATGAGGCTACTTCTAGTTCAAGGCTTGATTGTCATTTGGAGCTGCTTTGTTTCAATATAGCGGGTGGTTTGGAGGCAGTTTGAGCGCCATAGATGAAATTGTTAATTATGTGCAATTATCTTACCGAGTTAACATCAAAGTCAAAGCCGTGCTCTACGAAACAAATCAGCATTTCCTTGGTGGGAGACCCTAGCATCAATGCGCTGGATGTCGATCTGAGGTCAGTTGCGGTATCGCGAACTCTGAGCTCCTCAAATTATTTCTACTGTCTTGTGCATATTATTTAAAGGTGATGGCTACAACCTTCCATAGACATGACTAGAGTCCAGCATTTTCGAAGGTCATGGTCAATTAATTATGCATTCCGGGAGAGAACCTACGGGGGCAAGCCACACGGCTCATGTGATGGAGTGGAGTCTTGAATTATTAGTAGCGCATGATGTCGCACTAGTTTCCCCTCCCCCCTCCCCCACGCTCATAATGCTCGTGTAAAAACGTCATGAAAGTCTGGAGACCAGTGATGTCCCTGTCGCAACACATGGTTGCGAGAGATGCTAACCGCTAATGCCACAGGCGCACCCAGAGGGGCCCCACATGCAAGGGGTGAAGACTGTTTTCTAGGAGAAGTCAAGTCAGTCGCAGTTGACTAGTCACTGTGGTTTATCTATCTCAGTGTCGGTGTGAACAGGAGGGGGCGGGGGGGGGGGCTATTTATGAAGGACTTCTGGATTGTTCTCAGCGCTACCGATAAGGACTGATTCTGTCCAATCGTCTAGGGCTTACCTGAGGCTTAAGCAGCGTTTGAATCATGCCACATGGCCTGTTCAGCCATTTCGAGTGGATACGCTCTGTCCCGGACAGACGCTCCTGGCCTCGTGGCCTGTTGCAGCGCTTGTGACCGGTCCCGAACGTGACGGGTCCCGCTCGTGACGGTCTCTTTCGTTACGGATTCCGCTCGTGACGGGTCCCGCTCGTGACGGTCTCTTTCGTTACGGGTTCCGCTCGTGATGGGTCCCGGTCGTGACGGGTCCCGGTCATGATGGGTCCCGCTCGTGACGGGTCCCGCTCGTGATGGGTCTCGGTCGTGACGGGTCCCGCTCGTGACGGGTCCCGGTCGTGACGGGTCCCGGTCGTGACGGTCCCCTGCAAAGCGACGCCATCCGTCGGCTTCCTCTGTTGTACCACGCAAGGCATTGTGTAGAGGCCCATTCCCGTGGCTGACACGTCATTTGCGGTGCCGATCGGGCGTCCATTTGACCGGGTATTTCAATGGACGTAGCCACGGACCTCTTGGTGGCATTATGAGGACTTTTGAGGGCTCTTCGTGTCACCGGTGTCCATTGGTCTCCAACCAGAACGTCGGATTGGGTGGTTTGCGGGATTGGAGACGTCCGGTTCTATCTTGATGTGGCTGATGTACCTTGTCTATATGTACTTGAGAATAATGAAATCGTAATGCATGGATAGGCGGGGGGGTTTGCTGCTTTATCTTTGCATTAGCCATGCCCCTGAAGTGACACCCGGCGTGGCATATTATAGATCATGTGTCTGTACATCCGCCCCCAGTAAGATCTTGCGGCGGTCGCCCCCGCCGTCCTGAAATCGGGTCAGCTATAGGTGCCGATGTGCTGGATACTCCCCGTCAGGTAATGTGTGCCAGGGGCCGGTAGGAGCTTTGTAAGACAATGGGTCAGTTTGTTTTAGATGTTTGCTGACTATACAGGCGTTGCTAGCTGGTCATGCACTGCCCTCTCGAGACAAACATGGTGCGGTAAGTAAGCAACGGGCCATATTAATGACAGCAAGTAGCGCTACCCGCAGCGAAACGACCACATCAGCTGCTCTTTTAAAGCACCTGAGCAAAGCCGAGGACCATTACCGAACGGGTGCAAGAGGTTCATTACCGAACGGGTGCAGGAGGTTTGTTACCGAACGGGTGCAGGAGGTTTAGTACCGAACGGGTGCAGGAGGCTTAGTACCGAACGAGTGCAGGAGGACCTACGGAACGGGTGCAGACTAGGAGCTATCCGTGATATCCCAGCTGAGCTATCAGGAACCGTTCAGTCTGCCTCACGGCCCAGTCAGCTGTTAGTCGACACCCAGGATCACCCCACCCACCCCTGTCTGCCCCCCCCCCCCCACCCCCACCATTGACCGCTGGAAGGCCTGAACCTGAGCGCGGGGCTGGGCTGGCCAACGGGGTCGAGGCGCTAGGAGTGGCGACTTACCGGCGGCTGAGTCCTCACCCGCCTTCCTGCCCCGACTTCGCCACAACCAACGTCATCGCCCGCACGTGTCCCCTCCATCGGCCGGCGAGGCCCTCATGTGTCCCCTCCATCAGCCGGCTGAGGCCCTCATGTGTCCCTCCATCAGCCGGTGAGGCCCTCATGTGTCCCTCCATCAGCCGGCGAGGCCCTCATGTGGTCCCTCCATCAGCCGGCGAGGCCCTCATGTGTCCCTCCATCGGCCGGCGAGGCCCTCATGTGTCCCTCCCATCAGCCGGCGATGGCCCTCATGTGTCCCTCCATCAGCCGGCGAGGCCCTCATGTGTCCCTCCATCAGACGGCGAGGCCCTCATGTGTCCCTCCATCACCGGCGAGGCCCTCATGTGTCCCTCCATCGGCCGGCGAGGGCCTCATGTGTCCCTCCATCAGATGGCGAGGCCCTCATTCCGGCCGAACCTCCTCTGTCCTCTGCAGTCCGCCTAATCCCCCCCCCCCCTTCCTAATGGCTCATTAATAAACCCGGCGTGGGGCCCACACCTTAGGAAGGGTTGGTACCTCGGAGTCGAGCTGGGGTGGGTGGGTGGGATGGGGGGGGGGGGGTTACCGCCGCCGGGGATGGTCGAGTCGGATCGCTAATTGCTCACGAGTGTACACGCGGGAGCGGCCGTGATTAAATGGGCGCTAATTAGACGCAGTACGGCTCCAGAGACGGATCAAAGCGGGGGCCGAGAAGGAGGGTGGGGGAGGAAGAGGGGGGGGGGGCGTTGTGCACCCGCTGCCGCGGGTCGTCCATCCAGTGGTGTGCACAGGAGGGCGGGGGGGGGGGGAGGGGCATGGCCACATGCACGCCTCCGAACGAAGCACGGCGATCACCTGCACCCCGCCCACAGTTCGGTCGCCCTTACGCCTCCCCTTCTGTGGATGCTGCATCCGCCCCTGACGACGCGCGGCGGGCAGATGTTCCGAGACCACAAGGGCGTGCGAGCTTGCGCCGTATTATTCATCGTGACTCACTGCTTTTTTCTGTGGCGCTGGCCGCCTCGGTTATCAGAGGCAGCACTGGTTTGTAAGGTCATGGAGGTCTCGCGCGCTTCATCGTGGCGTGCCCTGCGGTAGCTATTCATGAGCTAACAACATGCAAGACGCAAAGAGGTCTCATTAAGGCAGACCAGCCTTGCCAGGCGTGGGCTAAGCACCATGCATAACGAATGCCCCATTTCTTGCTGATGCCAGTCGGGTGTTGATAGCATGACTTGCGCCGCTTGCTTGTTCGTAATCGCCGCAGTAATTAGGCTTCATGCAGACCCGCAGGCCATTACTGTTCACGGTTACCGCGTCTGTCATCTGAACGGGATCGCTGCGGTCAAAGGCGCAGAACGGCAGATCCAAGCCGCAAAGGTCTTTCGACTTGACTGCGATATGGCACGCTGCAGGGGTAAAACCTTGTCTCATTACGCAGCTGGGCGATTGATCAAGATCATGAATGTGCGTCATTTACCAGTTTCCTCCCCGTCGTGTTTTCCTGTGCTGGAGGCTGGGATACCCGCTTGCCATGTTACTCGCAAGCCATATAGCTGGCTTGCAATCTGATTTGACATTTGATTTCTATTACGGCCTCCCTGCCCGACACCCAACCGCGTATCCAAGGGCGGTTGATACCAATTTGCGTCTAGTGGCGAAAGGATACTGATGCTTTATGAATTTCAAAGCAAAGGTGAAGGTCATAAGAAGACGTCTTTTACGGGCGAAATTGGAGGCAGCAAAATCCCATCTTGTAAAAATTGCTGGACATGTCCGCCCCAAGTTCCCGCCCCCAGTCCCCGCCCCCAGTGGTCACATTCATGTCCTTTGATATGATTTAGATCATGCTAAGATCGGAGTATGGTTGTGGGTCCGACTACAATCGTTGTTGTCGAGTAAGGACTCTTTCAACGGGAATGGCTCAAACCAGCAAGCAGCAGATTTGGACCTGAGGTTCCCATGCGGACGGGACCCACTCCGGCTGGTCGATCCAGATCCATCGGGTCACTCAGTGGGCCCGTTCCGCCTGGCCGCTCCAGATCCATTGGGCCGCTCAGCGTATCCGCTCCGGCTGGTCGGTCCAGATCCACCGGGTTACCCACGCACTCGGATCGATTCGTCTGCCGAGCTGTCTGTGGCTCCGCGGGAAGCCGACTAACGGTGGCCAACAGATGACCTCGGCTGGACGCCTGCGGGGCTTGACCTGGTGCCGCAGTGGCAGGTGGGGAGGGGAGGGGGTCGAGCCGCACTGCTGGGGTTTCGTCTCCCCACCCCTTTGCTTCCCTTCCTCCTCCAGACAGACAGGCTGGGACAGCTGCGCCTGTATCTGCGTCGCATCCTTTTGCCGGTGTGTGCGCCAGGCGAGAGCGTGCGGCAGCGAGAAAGGTCGTGAAGGGGCGACGATGGGGAGTGATGGCCTGACAGGGCCGGCCGCCCTCGGAGAGTGTTGGAAAACGACGCTGTCGTGACCTTTGAGTGTACATATTGTTGAAGAAGCTGAAGAGGCCCGCCGATAGCAGACTCGTGTGACATCCGGGTCACGAGAGCCAACAAAGCGAGGCTGGGTGGATTTCATCACCTGCTCTTCGAGTGCATATGCCGTCATATCTTACTCGGACAAACTTCTCCGAACAATGTCCTCAGCCTCCCCCTTGCCCCGCCCCCCCCCCCCACCAGTCACTCTCGAGTACCCTTTCAGAAAGCCGCCGGGGCTTAACAGGTCTGCCGCTTGGTCGGTGACGCACTCAATGATAGCCCCCCTCCCCTCTCCCCCCCCCCCCGCCCGGTCGTCGGCGGCCGATGAGAGGCTTCGCCGTCCCTCCGACCGACCGCCGCGGCGGCTCGGGGCAGGGCGGGGTCGTGACCTCTGCCGACCTTTGCAGGCGCCCGGCCAGCCCGGCCAGCCGTTCAAGTTCACTGTGTCGGACTCGTGCGACCGCATCAAGGAGGAGTTCTCGTTCCTGCAGGCGCAGTACCACAAGTGAGTGGACGCTGTCAGCTGGCGTGTCGGCGGCTCGTGAAGCGCCGACCACGCCCACTACGACCGCCCGCCGCCACAATGGGACGGCAAATGGGTGTTGACGCCGGCGCGCGCTTTCAACAGGTCGACGGACAAGTGCTGCTTTATCATGTAGCGCTACTCGCACGCCGGGAAAGTGCACGATGCTGATAATTGCGAGGCCGCGGTATGTCCGCGGGCGGAATTGCACTTCACTGCCGGCGCGGCCGGCGCGGTGGGAAACCCTCGAATGACTGGCACATTGTCGTGCGATGCGGTGCATTAGTGCCCGTTTTGCCGTCGCTTGACCGCCTCACGGGCTCGCCTAATGCAGGTCGTGATGTCCATCGCAGACGAGGGACTCGGTCAAGCGAAAAGTGGTGTAAACCAGTTTGGTTGTCGGCCAGGCAACCAAACGGGCAAACGATTTCGTATTTCTTTATAACACATTTATTGAGTGAATACCGTGCACTTAAACGTGCTACAGATGTTGGAAATTATGGATATATCATTCAAACGATCAAGTTTATGCCATCGCTAAGGAGTTTCACAAGTTACACTTGTAGAGCGTATTTTTTTTCAGGGCGAATGGTCTGAAACTGACAGCAAGCCATAAAGGAAGGAGGCAGCAAAGTGCGGCGCGGCGGGCCAATTAGTCAAAACTTCACATATCTCGTCGGGCCAAATAAGCTGAGCATTGTAAGCAATGCCAGTCACGACTAAAGCACTGAATAAGCGCGTGAATAGGGAAAACAGTATACTGCATGAGGAAGGGCTAAATTAGCGAACAATTGATAACTGCTGGACATTTATAATGCATCCGATCACTGTTTAAAGACATCATTGCCCCTTTGCAAAGAGGCGAAACTGCAGATAACTTGCTGCTGTAGAAACAGCTGTTAGTGAGGCTACTTCGAGCTGGAATGTTGAGAAGAGGAATGGCATTGGGGGAAAGATCTTGTCGACTTCCACCGAAGTCGAACACCGAGTCATTTTCAACAAATTTTGAACAACGTGCTGAACATGTTTCACAACAGAGTGTGATGAACAATTTTAAACGCAATTCAGTTGCTGTTTTGAGGGAAGACTTGAACAAAGAGATCCCACCAGTAACCGGTGTTTGGCTATTAGTTTAGACTCAGTGAAAGGTCGGGGGATACTTAAACTGATGGTGATTACGGGCTCTTGGCCAGTGCCCTAAATCTTTTAAGGATTTATGCCATTTCAGCAGGTGAAATAATTGAAAGCATGCTTTTGAGGCTTTGATGTATGGTGAAATGTGGTGACCTGTTCTGAAGGATTTTAGAAAGAGAAAAAAATTGTGAATTTTACACTGGGAGTCAAATCGGTCACTCTGCGGCCACATCACCAACATGCAAATTGTTGTCGGCGCGGACAAAACTCTGACATTGTTTGCATCTGATCCCACCGATGCTGAGTGACTAGCCTGACCCGAGTGGCGAACCTACGGCCAGCTCTCAGACGGCGTGGGTCCCCCGCCGGCCGGCCGGACCCTCCAGCGCCAGACGACCAAGTGAAGCTCTCTCAGGCAACGCGACCCAGCAGCTGAACGCTTCAGTTCTGCTTGATCGCTGCGATACTGCGCCGAATGCAGACAGCTGCTCGCTTCTGGCAGCCGAGAGGGTATCCCTCCCCTCCCCTTCCCCCGAGCGCCATTAATTGGCTCGTGGTTGGCGCACGAGATACCAGCGCTCATCGAAGCGAGCCGCCTCGGGACCAGCGCTCGTCGAAGCGAGCCGCCCCGGGACCAGCGCTCATTGAAGCGAGCCGTCTCGCGACCAGCTCATCAATGGAGCCGACCGCTCCCCCGCTGTAGCCGCCGGGCACACATCCGTACCACGCACGTGCCGCCGCACGCGCCGCATGGGCTAATGTTCGCCATAGCACGTGCACGCGCGTGCGCACCAGCTGATTACGTCACTAATTACCGGTCGACCGGAGGCGGCGGCGACAGCCGCCGTATCGACCGCGTATATTATCGTCACGATTGACCCAAGCGGCGACAGGACGCTTTGTTTGACCAACTGGTCTGTGAGCGCCGCCGGCGTGCGCCGCGCGCCGCGTCACCACCCGTCGTGTCTGCCCCCCGGCATACCTGCGCGAGGACCGCCGGGGGGTGCCGCCCGCGCGCCGCGTCACCACCCGCCGTGTCTGCCCCCCGGCATACCTGCGCGAGGACCGCCGCGGGGGGTGCCGCCCACGCGCCGCGTCCGTCGCTCGAGCTGTGGGTTTAGCAGCGTCTGTCCCGGCGCCCGGCGGGTCCGTTAATCGCGGGAAAACGTGCACTCGACAACGCAGACTTCCCGGAGGCGTCTGGCACGGGGCGGTATTGGCTACCGCCCTGGGCTGGTGGGGGGTAGGGGAGGGGCGTGGCTTGGTCGTTTGTTGCTGTTGAGTGTGGAGAAATATATCTCACACCTTGTCGGGATCAAACTGACCGGCAAACTGATAACGTGTAGGCGCCACGTGACCCAAGAAGCTATCTGGGTTAGTCAGTTATCCCCATCATCTCCGAAGGTTCTGTTCTATCATCCATGATGGGACAGAACGTCCCCATCATAAACGTTCCGTTCCCTGCGATCTACTGCCTTCTGCTGTAACCGCAATAACGACCATAGTCGCTATTTTTCCTTCTGTATCTGAATACTCTTTTCTACCACAGGTCATGGTAAACAAGGCCTTCTCCTAAGCTGTTCCACCCAGTCTGCACAGCCTCGGACCAAACGCAGTCCCACGCGGCCATCAGCGATAATAAACCACCGCCTGTCCTGCCCCGGCCCCACACCGGCCGTCACTGAGGCCTGCCCGGCCGCCGCCACTGAGGACACAACCGGCCGCCGCCACTGAGGCCCCATCACCGGCTCGCCACCACTGAGGCCCCTGCACCGGTCTGCCAGCACTGCTGCTGCCGCCGCTGAGGCCTGCCGGCCGCCTCTGAGGCCTGCCCGGCCGCCGCCACTGAGGCCTGCCCGGCCGCCGCTGAGGCCTGCCGGCCGCCGCCACTGATGCCTGCACGGCCGCCGCCACCAACCGTCGGGGCGAGATGCACCGCCGTCGCCGCCTGCTGCGGCGTCCCAGCTGTGGCCGCCCGGGTCAGGCGGCATAAGGACGGCCCTCCTGTCGAGGGCAAGGGGAGGGGGTGCGGTCGAGGCGGGATGAGTCGGTGGATTCCGGAACAGGTGGAACTGACGACAGCTCTGGGCAGGGGGCCACGGGCAAGAGTAGATCCAGAACTGGGACCGGAACCACAGTCAGGGGCAGAGTCAGGACTGTACAAGGGCCACGGACAAGGGCAGATTCAGAACGCTCCTTTGGGTGACAGTCTCCGGATTAGGGGGAGGGGCAATTAAATAGTGTTGTGATTTGCAAAAAGGCATCTAGTTGTGCCTTTTGTGGAAATAAGTGGAAGTCACAGCAAAAGCGCGAATATGAGTTTGCATGTGGTGACTCCAGCCTGTCGTCCCTGTGGCCGCCCGCTGTGTCGCCCCTGTCACCCGCCCTCTGTGTCGCCCCTGCGGCCGTCCACTGTGTCGTCCCTGTGGCCACCCTCTGTGTCGCCTCTGTGGATACCCGCTGTGTCGCCCCTGCGGCCGTCCACTGTGTTGCCTTCAGTGGCTGCCCGCTGTGTCGCCCCTGCGGCTTATCCACTGTGTCGCCCCTGTTGCCACCCGCTGTGTCGCCTCTATGGCCTGCCCGCTGGTGTCGTCCCTGCGGCCATCCGCTGTGTCGCCCGCTGTATGGCCCCTGTGGCCTCCGCTGTGTCGCCCGCTGTATCGCCCCTGTGGCCGCCCGCTGTGTCGCCCGCTGTGTCGCCCTGTGTCCCGCCCTCTGTGTCTCCCGCTGGCCCGCGTCGCCAGGCCTGCTCAGCTATGAGCGGCCCGTTGTAACCGATCCGTCCGTCAATACCGTCAATATTTGAGAGCCATATTTGCGCTGAATAAACTACGGGCGTGCGTTTTTGCAGGCAGGCCGGCTGCCGCTGCTGCCTGCCTGCCGTCTGCCGGTACTCCTCCGTGATTGGTCGGTTGGGGAGAGGGCTGCCAGCTTCACCAGCGTTTAGATGCTTAGGTTCGGCTGCCGCTTCTGCAGCGTCGCGGTTTGCGTTATTGGCGCGCGTGTCACTAGCACTTGCAGATTGCGGGAATCCATGCGTAGTGGCAACGCGCACCGGGGACTGAAAGGAAGCAGGCATTGGTCATTTCTGATTTCACTAAAATCAGAATTCACCCGCACGTTCGGCGCAAACAGCGACGCCCCGACGCTGCCTCCCCCCCCCTTCCCCCGTCGTTTGTTCCTGTCAACGCCCCTGCGCTGGGGCGGGGGACAGGCGCGGCGGACGGGCTGTATTCATGCGGTCGGCGGCAGAAAAGAAACGGACGCCGCGCGGCTCCTGATTAATTGCTGTTCGTGCCGACGGCGTCGCAGGGTATCGCCAGCCCCTCGGCTTTGTTCGGCCGACCCATCGTTTGCTTTTGTTGGGAGTGCGGAGCTGGCGGTGGCCCAATACACAGGCCGCGCGCAGCCCGAGCGGCGCGAGCAGCCGTCAATGGCGCTATGGGCGGGCCGGCTGCTATTGATGCGAGCCCCGGCTGACGCCCGGGAGCGGGGTGCAGTCGCGCTCTGACAGGTGCTTGACCAGTAACCGTCGCTGGGCCGGCGGCCCCCTGACTCGGACCCAAACTCTAGAGGGCCAGTTGGGCTGTTTTGGGGTGTGGTGTTCGCACGCATGGATGGCATCAGGCGGCAGAGTGGACCTGACTCAATCTGTGTGAAATGCACCTAACTACGCCCGCGCGCTGCCGGAGTAACACGGCTTGATGTTAAGCTTCGAGTCATTCGTGCTTATTTGCATTAGATGCGCATGTATTATGCTTCGAACCCACGTCCTTTTAAACACGTATTGCCACGAATAGAGCATTCAAGCATGGCTCACCACTTGTCAAAGTCGACCACACATATTGCCTGCGAGAGGGATGACACTTAACGGTTTTAACATCCCACCGAGAACTTATCAACAGCCAGCCGCCACCTCTGCCACTCAGCGCCTGCGCCGACCGCCCGGCCCACCACCGCGGACCGGAACAGCCGCCTCCCTCCCCCCGCAACTCATCGGAAAGTTCGGCGCCCATTACGCGCAGTCGGGCGGCTGCGCTGCCGCGGCCGCCGCGGCCGGCCCGCCCGGCCCCGCCACACCCCGAGCGGCCGCCGCCGCGCGAGACTCCTCCGACTTATCCCCCCCCCCCTCCCGAGCTGTGCTGAGCTGCACGGCTCTTGAGAGCCCGCTCGGCCCGGCCGGGCCCGGCTGTCATTCGCAGAGTCGGCGGGGCGCGCCCGAGCTCCCGAGCGCCCGAGCGCTCGAGCTCCCGAGCTTCCGAGCGCCCGAGCGCTCGAGCTCCCGAGCGCCCGAGCTCCCGAGCTCCCGAGCGCCCGAACGCCCGAGCTCCCGAGCGCCCGAGCTCCCGAGCTCCGAGCGCCCGAGCGCTCGAGCTCCCGAGCGCCCGAGCTCCCGAGCTCCCGAGCGCCCGAACGCCCGAGCTCCCGAACGCCCGAGCTCCCGAGCGGTCGAGCTCCTGAGCGCCCGAGCTCCCGAGCGCCCGAGCTCCCGAACGCCCGAGCTCCCGAGCGGTCGAGCTCCTGAGCTCCCGAGCGCCCGAGCTCCCGAGCGCCCGGGCTCCCCGCCCCGCCGCGCTCTGCCGTCTGACGAGTGACGGCGAGCATCATCCGGTCGTGTCGGGCTGGTGTTGGGTCCAATACACGAGGTGGCACGTACTGTCTCCTGGTCCGTCATCAGGCGGGCTCGATCCGGCTTCCTCCAATCCGTGCAGTCCCCTGCCAGCCTTCCTCTGTCCGTGCAGTCCCCTGCTAGCCTTCTTCAGTCCGTGCAGTCCCTGCTGGCCCTCCTCCAGTCCGTGCAGTCCCTGCTGACCCTGTCCCCCGTCCGTGCAGTCTCTGCCAACCCTTCCCCAGTCCGTTTGGTCCCCTGCTAGCCCTTTCCCAGTCCGTGCAGTCCCCTGCTAGCCCTGCCCCAGTCTCACTTTCGCGCTTCGCCTCGGCTCGAGCCGAGAAGCTCTCTCTCTCGTTCGAGCTTCGGCGGCGTCCGCTCGCGCGCCGCCCAGAGCTCGTTCGTCTCCGGTGCGCTCGTCGGGCCCTCCCCAGGGTGGCCCTGCCGAGGGCCCTCGAGCTCTCGTTCCGCCGCCGCCGGGCGCGGCGGGGAGGGGAAGGTCTCATCGTTCACGGCCGGCCGCGCCGCCGCCGCTCCCGATAACGACACGGCCTGTCGGTCGGCGATGATTTTCCGGCATCTGAGCACCTCGGTATCGACCGCGGCTCCCTCTTCCGGCCGCATCTCATTGGCGCTCCCCTCCCCCGCCGCCGCCGCCGCCGCCGCCGCCGCCGACACCGCGCGCGGCGTTTTTCATCGACCACGCGCTCCGCGCGTCCGACGCGTCGACCGCGTCCAAGGGTTAACCGAGGACGGACCTCAGTATTAATTGAGCGCGTGGAGCGACGGGCACGGCACGCACCACACCCCTAGGGACCGCGCCGGGAGGGGCGGGCAGCATGAAAATTACAGCGGCAGGATAATTTGTTTACGGCGCAAATGATTGCAGCCGAGCCGGCACGCTATTGTCGTCACCATTGTTGTGAATAATTGAGAGCGCGGAGGACGGGCCGGCGGCACGGCTGCGTCGTAATGGCCGGCTAAAGTTACCCACGCCAGATTTGCCGCGGCAATGGCGGCGCGCACGTGCGTCGGATTAAGCGCACTGGCGCGTGATCACAACGGCTGTGCGCCGAACTCCACCCCTTGGGAATGGGAGGGGGGGAGGGAGGCTAGGCCGCCAATCCCCGTCACCCATCCGCTCCGTGTCCTTCCGCTCTGGGGACTCCCAGCGGCTGCGAGGGCCCCCACACGGGGAGACAATACAGAGATGGGCGTCATGCAAGGCAGAGGACAAATGACTGGGGTACAGGCACGGCGGCGCTGCCCGCTCGCCAAACACGAACCTGCCGGCCGCTATTCGGCCGGTGATGGACGGGCCGGAAGCAGGGTGGCGCAATGGCCGTGTGTTTGCCGACGCGGATTAGCTCTGCCCGTGTCAATAATGAGGCGGAAGCAGCGAAGCGGCGCCGGGCTCCCGACCGACGGCGCCCAACGAAGCCGACAAGTTCGCGCCAGATGGTGCTGATGGCGCGCGCGGGCGGCTGCTGTTTTCCGGCGAGTGGTGAAGGCTCGCCCCGCGCCAGAGACGGAAAAACAGAGGAGGAGCGCGGCGATGCCAGATGACCGGGGCCGTTTTTCTTGCGGCGTAGGATAAGATCCAGATTAAGCTGAAGAATTCTGTGGCCAACTCAGGTCCGAAGGGACGTTGACTTTTCTGAGGATCTTGGATAGGAGAATGGAAGTCGAATACCCACCCAGACATAATGGGAAGATGGGTAGTGCGATTGAGGCGAGATATCATGAAGTGCGTCCACCATTTGGTGCTCCTTTGAACAGGTCCCCTCCGTCATGGAAAGAAAGGCAGTCGAGCGCGAACGATAAGGTGAATTGAATATGTGCGAGTGAATCCTTGTTCCATTCAGATGTTAGATGACCATAAATGTTTTCTCAGCCTCATCGGGCCTCCCATTATTGTATTTTCAGTTATATCGCGGGTTAAAGATGGGGTCTACGGTTGTGCCGGTGGTAACCGCACGGCGGCCATATGCCTTGGTTTTGTGGTGTGATGGGCCTTTTACAATAGGCCATCCCACCTAACCAATTCCTTGATAACTTCGGCAGTCCATGCTCGAGGGGTGGAAGATTTGTGAGCAATCGATTTATGGCACCTCCAGTTAAAGAATTGCCCAAACCAGCCACAGTCACCATTTTATCACATTTGCGCAATTACTTTTGCACCCTCTCCCTTCCTCTACTCGGCCCATCCTAATGATTAATTTCGTCATCGGTTTACTATTTCTCTTCCGACAGGGGTTTCAATCTCCCCTCCCGCCGCCCGTCTGCCCCTCCATCCTCCCCTCTAAATCAATTGCGCGGACAGCCTTGAGAGGCCCCTGATTAACTATTTTTCCCTGTATGTGCAAAGTTTTGTCCCGCATCCCTCCCTCGTCAACCCTCGTCAAAATTGCGCAATCTTCCCCATCTCCCCCTCACGCTGAGTAGGCTTTCCTCGCCTGTAAAGCGAATGGGAGAATAACGGCGTTGGTTGGGCTGCACCAACGCGTTCCAGTGGCGCCACCAGCGTGGCATACGCGAACATGACGAGCACGCGACGAACACGGACGCTCTGCCCGATACCCACCCGCCTTCAGCGCACCACGCCGCGTTGTGCTCGGACCGCTTCGAAAGTGCCGGCGAGCTGTCTCCCCGTGGCAGAGCTGCGTTTGACTGTCGCGCGCGACACTCTGGTTTTAATTGGCAACACCCACACAGCCCGCCATTTCATTGATCTTTGTGTGAGCCGCGCGAGGCCGCCCGTCGGGCACCTCCATTGTGAAGAGACGGCGCCGCGCGCACGCAAGGCGGTGATTTCATTCATTGTGAGCTACCACCGGCGGATCCCATCTCGGTAATGGGCGCCCCTGTCAGTCAACGCCTTTGTTGAGTCTAGTCCGCGTTTGAACTGATTGCATCCTCTTTCCGCAGCCTCAAGCTGGAATGCGAGAAGCTTGCCAGCGAGAAAATCGAAATCCAGCGCCATTACGTGATGGTAAGTGTTTGTTCGCGTGTCGTCGTTGTGGGGTGTTCCGAGGGCTCCAAGGAAGGGAGGGGGCGCAGTGGGGAAGCCCTGATGCCGACCGCGTCGCTGCGTGATCAATCGTGCTGACAGGCGTCTCGCGCTCCAGACACGCGCGCCGTGTACCAGCCGCTAACATAGGCGACAACTAAGGCAGGCACAATCCAAGCACGTGTTGTCGGCAAGCAATATGCATGTGACGCCGTTGAAGATTCCTGTCGTGATAGATGAATTGCAAGTATGTTGAAAGCAGCCATTTCCCTCAGATTTGTATGCATTGTTTGATATAATACGCATACAAAATATATTTGAGAAGCATTGTCAGCGGTCTCTGAGATCCAGGTGTCGTAGGCATTTCTGTGACTGGTGCACCATTGAGAAAACATCCTTTTGGCTGCCAAGATGCTACAAATTTACTAAATTTGAGGTGCGTTTCGTCTTGCTTCGTGTGTTCCGTGACCCACGTCGCACGCGTATTCGAATGTATGCTGGCGTCGACCCAGGACCAATGGTATCGCAAACACTCACGGAGTCAGCTGCTCGCCAACTCGCCTTCCGTGTTAGTAAAAATCTCGCCCCCCCCCCCCCTACACTGACCCCCGGGGGGACCTGATCCGGCCACCGGAGGAGGCTTTGACGGCAGAAGCGAGGCCGAGTGATGCCCTGGATGAACCCAGACGCTGATCTGTGGGAATGGCTGCCGTCATATCACTCATCCAGCTTACTTTGATGGCCTGTTTTGATTCGGAAAAGACGTGCATGCCTCATTCATATCGTTGCTGATTTTAGAAGCTCTCTGGGCGTATTAATCGCTGTCGGCTTGTGCTGTTCGATTGGATCATCATCAGGCCGTGCTTGTGCAGACCGACCGAGACAGTCAATATTTCTCTGTCGTTATTCTTGCAGCGTAGATACTACACACACTATTTGTGTGTGCCACAAGCGTATTTGCATGTCCTGTTTGTACTTCGAACGTCCTATTTCCTTTGGATAGACGGGATGATTTGTCTTTTTCTCTCTCTCTCCCATCTCTCTCTCTCTCTCTCTCTCTCTCTCTCTCTCTCTCTCTCTCTCTCTCTCTCTCTCTCTCTCTCTCTCTCTCTCTCTCTCTCTCTCTCTCTCTCTCTCTCTCTCTCTCTCTCTCTCTCTCTCTCTCTCTCTCTCTCTCTCTCTCTCTCTCTCTCTCTCTGTCTCTCTCTATCTCTTTCTCTCTCTCTCTCTCCTCTCTCTTCTCTCCTCTCTCTCTTGCTCTCTCTCTCGTTCTCCCCCTCTCTCTCTCTTCCCGTCTTCGTCCTTCTCCTTCATTCCTCCTTCGCTCTCTCATCGTGAGGTCCATGAACCCCTCTGTCTTTTAGTCTCTGGCGGCGGCCCGAACACGTGGCAGCATACCACGGCAGCCAGCACTCCCGCCGCTGTGCTGGGCCGATGAAATACACTCTCAGTGACAATGAGCAGCTTTGTGGGCCAAAAACAACAGCAGACGGGACCTGGGCAAAGAGGCGCATGTGCTCTATGCAGGTTGTCTTTGCTTGGCGTAAGGCGGGCACTTCAGCACAGGATGGCAATCTTATGCCGTAAGTTAAAAAAAAAACGAGTTCCAAGGTACAGAATACAAATATTGCTGTCAAAGTCCCTTTGCGATGTACCCTGGGAGTTCATCGTGTGTCTACTGAAACAAGTCAAAATCCCTTGTAAAGGTCATTTGTAATATGCGCTGGGCACTGGGCTGTGGGCGGGGCCAAATGCACGTTAATGGCACAAAGGCACAAATGTGACACACTGCGGGGAAGTTCACGGAAGTTTAGACAGCTCATAAATGAGAGATCAGATGTTGCTAGGGATCTCCGTGCTGGGCGTTGCGTCCAATTTGGGGACGGAAATTGTCCCATATGACGCCTGCTGAAAATCGAAGGGGCCGAACGTGACCTGACTGGTCTGAACTGACCTGGCGTGTTGTTAGCTCCCTCGCTTTGCATGTCTCTCGTGGCCGTGAAAAATTGGGATCAATATTGAACAGAAGCGTCCGCTCACGTATAACGGAGGACAACGTCTATTTGCAGGTAATTCTCACCTATCACGTTCACTTGTCACTTGCTCGAACGTGTAACGGAGATGGACCTTCACGTACAGTCGCTTGTCACGTGTCACGTTCGCTTATCACATTCACTTGTCACCTGCTCACACGTGCAGCGGGGGTTGACGTTCGCTCACCGTCGCGTGTCGCGCCCGGGCCCGCTGGCGCTGGCAGTGACCCTCCCGGGCCTCTGTTTTCAGTACTACGAGATGTCGTACGGCTTGAACGTCGAGATGACCAAACAGGTGAGCCCGCCCACATCCCCCCCCCCCTCCACACTCCCCACCTCACCCCCATTCTGATCCCTCCCCCTCCCCGAGGACGCATCGTTCTCCGTGTCCAGCTGTTGTGCATCTGGTGCTTGGTCACTGCCTCGGTCCTGCAAAGCGTGGCCTAAGGTCACTGCCTCGGTCCTGCAAGGCGTGGCCTAAGGTCACTGCCTCGATCCTGCAAGGCGTGACGCACGATTGCACGCGTCCCGGAGCGGCGATGCGCATCTCGACCATGCTGTGTGTGATATGGATTGCAGAGCGCAGGCGTTGGCAGGTGTCCCTCACCGCTCATGTTCTGCTCTGGCCACGGATGATGGACCAGAGGTTTTATCCGACTAAGTTTGAAATTGGTGGGACATGAGTTGAGTAAAATCGCTTCAGTGTGCGGTGAACAGAGGCCCGCGTCACCGCCTCAGTGCGCGGTGAACAGAGGCCTGCATCACCGCCTCAGTGTGCGGTGAACAGAGGCCTGTATCACCGCCTCAGTGCGCGGTAAACAGAGGCCTGCATCACCGCCTCAGTGTGCGGTGAACAGAGGCCTGTATCACCGCCTCAGTGTGCGGTAAACAGAGGCCTGCATCACCGCCTCAGTGTGCGGTGAACAGAGGCCTGTATCACCGCCTCAGTGTGCGGTAAACAGAGGCCTGCATCGCCGCCTCAGTGTGCGGTGAACAGAGGCCTGTATCACCGCCTCAGTGTGCGGTAAACAGAGGCCTGCATCGCCGCCTCAGTGTGCGGTGAACAGAGGCCTACATCACCGCCTCAGTGTGCGGTGAACAGAGGCCTGCATCACCGCCTCAGTGTGCGGTGAACAGAGGCCTGTATCACCGCCTCAGTGCGCGGTAAACAGAGGCCTGCATCACCGCCTCAGTGTGCGGTGAACAGAGGCCTGTATCACCGCCTCAGTGTGCGGTAAACAGAGGCCTGCATCACCGCCTCAGTGTGCGGTGAACAGAGGCCTGTATCACCGCCTCAGTGTGCGGTAAACAGAGGCCTGCATCGCCGCCTCAGTGTGCGGTGAACAGAGGCCTGTATCACCGCCTCAGTGTGCGGTAAACAGAGGCCTGCATCGCCGCCTCAGTGTGCGGTGAACAGAGGCCTACATCACCGCCTCAGTGTGCGGTGAACAGAGGCCTGTATCACCGCCTCAGTGTGCGGTAAACAGAGGCCTGTATCACCGCCTCAGTGTGCGGTAAACAGAGGCCTGCATCACCGCCTCAGTGTGCGGTGAACAGAGGCCTGCATCGCCGCCTCAGTGTGCGGTGGATAGAGGCCTGCATCACCGCCTCAGTGTGCGGTGAACAGAGGCCTGCATCGCCGCCTCAGTGTGCGGTGGATAGAGGCCTGTATCACCGCCTCAGTGTGCGGTAAATAAAGGCCTGCATCACCTGCATCACCGTCCATCCGCGCATTGAACACTTCTAGACTACGACATGACTTCATGTCTCCAGTTTGAAAGCCTCGCGTCTGCAGTGAGCCCATCGGGCCGCGTGCAGTATGCATACAGCTCCAACAAATGTAAGTCGCTTTCGCCAGCGGTTCCCCTCGCTGCGGGTCGCGTGCGCCTCCTTCGTTGCCTGTTGAGAACATTTCGAACCAGCTTTAATCAGCTGGATCAGTCACGCTCGAATGCGGTCCAGCATACAGCATACCACTTCCACGTAAATTGTAATTCCGGCTCATAATTCTCCGCATTTCTCGGCCGTATTTTATCCTATTCATAGGCATGTCAATTTGCAGGCCGGCATGACATTGTCGGCTCCCCCGCCGGCTTTGTTCAGCTCGACGGTGAGTTAGTAATTAAAGGCATCACGAGAATTCGGTTGAAATGTCATCCTATTAATAACACACCCTCGCCAAATAATCACCGTTAATTAAAACAGACTCGGGCCCGCTCTGCTCAAACGTAATGCCTGCTTGTGGATTGGCATCGTTGGAGTTTGACTGAAGTGGCTTCTGAGGCGGTCTCAAGAACACAGAGTTTGAGTGAGATGGCTGCAGGGGCGGTCTCAGGGTCACGGAGTATGAGTGAGATGACTGCAGGGGCGGTCTCAGGGTCACGGAGTTTGAGTGAGATGGCTGCAGGGCGGTCTCAGCGTCACGGAGTTTGAGTGAGATGACAACAGGGGCGGTCTCAGGGTCACGGAGTATGAGTGAGATGGCCGCAGGGGCGGTCTCAGCGTCACGGAGTTTGAGTGAGATGGCTGCAGGGGCGGTCTCAGCGTCACGGAGTTTGAGTGAGATGGCTGCAGGGGCGGTCTCAGCGTCACGGAGTTTGAGTGAGATGACTGCAGGGGCGGTCTCAGAGTCACGGAGTTTGAGTGAGATGGCTGCAGGGGCGGTCTCGGGGTCACGGAGTTTGAGTGAGATGACTGCAGGGACGGTCTCAGGAACGTAAAGCTCGAGTGAGATGGCTGCAGGGGGTGTCTCAGGAACACGGACGGACCGAAACGCGCCGAACTGGCAGACCGGCCGGAAGGTCTGTCAGTGGCTGGTCCCAGGAGCACAGCTGCGGAGGTCCTCACGGCCCGACGCGGGCCGACGGCCTGTCAGAGGTGCCCACTCACACACACCGCCAGGAACAACCGCACCAGATGGCTCGTTACGAAGCATGTCTTGCCATGTGTTACTGTCTGGCAGTTGCGTTTTCTCCCTCCAGCTGCGTCAACAGAGTGGTCATGGGGCAGAGGATGGCTGGTGGCCAGACCTTGTTTTACGGGCGTCTGGTCTGATCAGTGAGCGGTTTCGGCGCGCCCCATGGACTTGAGCGCCATATTCGGTTGGGTGCTGACCCCGTTAGCAGCCAACGGACAGCCAAATGGCTCCCATATTTGGATTGCTTTACCACGGCTGTTATTAAGTTTGAAGCATCTGATATCCAATAAGAGGCAGCTTTGAATGGAGCTTTCGGAACATTCAGCGGGAGCCTCCTCAGATTGAAGCTGGGTGATCAGTCCAGTCGGTCTGTGACTTGATTTGCCCTCGATGCACAATTTTCTCAGAATACATATTCATGCGAAGGGCAGCCACCTAGAGTGGTAAACAGACGTTCATAGTTAAGCAACCACCGAATGTCGAGGCACTCATCAATACATTCCTCCTGACAGCTTCGCAGGCGCCAGCTCCACACTATTTTGCGCTGCCTTATGTCACCTGTGATAACTTACCGAACACCATTTTGATATGAACGCATACACATACATCGCATAACATCACATATGAACGCGCGTTTAGTCTGTTAGCTGCCTGATGCGTGGATGAATGTTGGAAAGTGGAGTGGGCCTGCTTGCGATGTTGTCCCTGATCGAGAGGATAAGGGTTTAAACAGCTGTATGCTTGTTTAAACTGCTGCAGTTGTGAGTCAAGCTGTAGTTGCAGCTTCCTTCTGATCTCTAGACGCGTGTAGGACTGCCACTTATAAGCTCCATTGTTTCGAAGAGTTTGGTGCTTGCGCAAGTGTCTGGATTTGTGGACGACTGCCTCATAATGTGAGCTTGTTTAACTATGCGCTCGAGTGAACTGTTTGCAGGTGGATACGGTTTTTTTATTACGTTTTTCTTTACATGCATAGCACCTCCGGGCAGCAGGTGCATAGAGAGAAGCTGATTTGTAAATTGTCTAGACTTTTCGCCCTATTAGATTCTTAGGCCACTTGATAGAACGAAAGTTCGTTGTAAAACCTGCTATTTAATTCTCTTAAGTGCCTCATGCTCAACCATTTGTGCACTTCAGCCTGGGAAAACGTCCTTTAATCATCAAATCTGTCAGCACCGCCGCTGCGCCGTGGGGCATCCCAATCCTGGCATTCCGTGCAGGCATCGACCGCAGAAAACAGCGCTGGGCGAGTGGCTGGCCGGCTCTCGCGCGCCGCCCACACCCGCGCGACGATCCGTCGAAATCCGCCGTCTCCGCCGCGTGTCGCCAAAAATAGTGGCGGGAAGTGGTGCGCAGCGCGGCCCGCCAGGGCGGCGCCACCGCCCGCCGGCCCAGTTAAATCGTCGGCGCCGACTGGAAATGTTGAACAATCATTGATCTGGGGCCGCGTCGGACCGGCAAACCAATCATAGGACTCTATATCTATGTGGTCGTTGATTGCTGATCAATACTGGCGTCAGGCGGCGGGGGAGAGGGTGCAGAGTGAGGGAGGGCGGCGCGGAGAGCCGCCATCGGCGACGCCTTCAAACGCGCCCACAATGGTGTAATTGATATTGGCTGTTCCCGTCGAGCGCTCCCGAAGGGTCGATCAAGATGGCGCCCGGAGATGATAATTCCGTCCTCGACGGCCAATCGGTCGGCGGTGAAAGAGCGCACGAGAGCGCGCGAGGACCCGTCCGGAAGTGAGGGGAGATCAGGGCGGCGAAGGCGGGCAGGGCTGGGGGAAGGGGGGGGGGGGGCGGGGCGGTGGGTAGGGCAGGATTGGGAAGGGAAGGGGAGTGCCAATCAGAGGAATGCCCAGGTGAGACAGGGTTGGGTGGGAAGTACTGGTCCGCACCGTTTATTTGGGCCGAAGGGAATCGAGTCAGGAAGCTTCGAGAGCGAGGGCTTCTCTTTGAAGGCGTAACTCCGCACGCATGAACGACGAAAGGCCATAAGTGAGGCTTTCCTCCGAGCATAAGTCGTCCTAGTTGGGCCACTTCCAACTAACCTGAAGAGGTCTTTATCTTTGGTCTCACTCTGGGCCGGCGTCGTCATCCTTCGAATAGCTGATAGTAGGGCTCTCAGCCCTCAGAATCCATCTCCGTCGGCTGCGTTCACTCTCTCCGGCTTTTCAGGCTTAGAGTGGACTCAGACTGACCTCCTGGTCGTACTGTCGCACCCTGATTGGCTAACCCTGACCCCACCCTCCTGCTCTTCCTGGCTCTGCCTTTTTTACCAGTCAGCTTCTTCTGACTGGTCAGCTTCTTCTGATTCTGCCTTACTCTCAGATCCTTCTGACTGCCGACGCTGACCCTGACTCACTCTGAATATCAGATATTCCTTACCTCTACGGGGCCCTGCGTCTCCGACCCCGCGCCTCTGACGCCGCATCCGACCCCGCACCTCCCGGTCTCCGCCGCTGGCGGCGCTTCTGCCGCGCTCGCCAGCCGCCGGCGTGTCCATGTTTACACCGGCTGCGGATCTGTTAGCTGGGCCGTGTTGACGCAGCGCTGTCAACTCGCCACTAATGGCGCCCCACATACACCTCGGCCGCTGGCGCAGCGGCGCGCCCAGCAACACCACCTGGGGAAGCGACAATGTGCGCCACTGCGTGTCGAGCACCTTGCCGGCTGATAACATGGCGATTTTTCAATCATGCGTTCTGGATTGGACACATGATTTGCTCACAAAACGACTAATTTCCTTTCATCCTAAAGCGATGTCGACAGGATTGGTTTGTTGTGATAGGTGGTAGGTCTGACGATAACGGGCTCACAGGCGCCTCCCTTGGATCCCGCCCTGGGCGCGCCGCTGCGCCGGGAGCGGCATCGGTGGCCCGCCGCGCTCCCGACTCTGTGGGAGCCGTCAGCCCGAGACTCATTAGCGCAGCAGCCGGAGGCGGGAGACACCTTACCGCTCGTGCTTCCGGTGCCGCCGTTGCCCATCGCGACCCGACGCCCCGCGGCGTGGCCACGTGACCACCGCCCCGCGAGCGGCGCCGGGTCACGGGGTCAGCGGCGGCGCGTCTGATGTTCGTCCACCACTTCAGCGCGCGCGTGCAGCCGCGTCCGGCAGCGCGTTAAACGCCCCACCAACCGCGTAATGGGCGCTTGCACGTGCCGTGCACACACGCATAAATCGTCTCTGTTTACGCGCGTCGTAAGCGTCGTAAGCGACCAATGAAAGCCTGGCGGCCGGCCGGCGTGTCGTAAAGTGGGACGCGCCTTGCCGCTCCGCTACTGTTATGCTAATGGGACGCGTCGACGCGGCGGCGACAACGGTCGTGGTCGGGACGATTTATTTTGGCGGCGCCCGGACGGCCGAGCGCCGGACGAGGGACGGGGAATGCGGTGCGGGGAACGCGGTACGAGGAACGCGGTGCGAGGAACGCGGTACTGAGAACGCGTTGCGAGGAACGCGGTGCGAGGAACGAGAAGCGAGGAACGCGGTGCGAGGAACGCGGTGCGAGGAACGAGGAGCCAGCGATGAGGGCGGCGGACGAAAAGAGAGGGATGAGGGGTGATGGTAGGGGCACGAGAGTAAAAAAGAAGAGTTGAGGGTATAGGCACGAAGGGCAAGGAATGAGAAGTGAGGGACAGGAGTGATGGACGGGGGAAAGGGACGATACCGAGAGTTGAAGAAATGAGCTGGGAGCTCGTAGGCTTGCGACGAGGATCGACGGACGACGGTGGATGGACAACGGATTAGGAACAGGGGATGGGGAACAAGGGACGAGGGACGGCCCGCGCCCTTCGCACGGCGCCACGCAGAGCTGCGCGGGCTCGCGTCTCTGGCTCGCGCGGCAGACGCGGACCAATCCGCGCCGCCAGTGATCCAGCCCGCGCCGTGGCCGGGTCACCGCTACTGTCCGATGCCGTCCGCAGCGAGCCGTCCACTGCCGCCCCCGGGCGCCACTGTTTGTTTGGTATGCACGCGCCGCCCTGAGTGGACGCTCGCGCCCGAGCGACGGCTCTCCGCCGGCGCCCGGACAGGCGGAGCGGCACCGCTGCAGCGACGTTGCCCAATCGTCTCGGATGTGGCGCAACGGCGCCATAACAAGCGCCGGCTGCGGTGCATTCGTCACCGCGCTTCCGCAGCGGCTGATGGAGTCGGGTGATTCAGAGGCTGGGGGGCGCGCGTAACGCAGAGGCTGATGGGCTCGGGTGACTCCGCGCCTCTGGCGGCTCGGTGTTGGCAGCAGCGGATCGGGGCGCAGGTCAGCTCGGCTCGGCAGCGGCAGCGTGTGAGTCTGATACAAGGCTGACTGGACGGTGAGCGTCAACTCAGCCGTGCTTACCGGTGAGCGTCAGCTCAGCCGTGTATACCGGTGAGAGTCAGCTCAGCCGTGTATACCGGTGAGCGTCAGCTCAGCCGTGTTTACCGGTGAGCGTCAGCTCAGCCGTGCTTACCGGTGAGCGTCAGTTCAGCCGTGTTTCGTGTTTACCGGTGAGCGCCAGCTCAGCCGTGTTTACCGGTGAGCGTCAGCTCAGCCGTGTTTACTGGTGAGCGTCAGCCGTGTTTCCGCTGAGGCGCCGTTTCACTCCCAACTGCAGCGCCGCTTTAGTGAGCCGGCTGGAACAGATTATGAACTTCTCTCGTCGTTGTTTTTTAATCCGCTGACAGCACAGGGGAACTCCGTCGCACCAGCGGCGGCGTCCGGTGACCTCAGCTAAACAGCGTGTTGCATAAGCGGCCGAACGGGACGTCCTGAGTGAAAGCGCCCCGCTATGGATGGGCGTTAACGCCGTAGCCAGCAGGGGCACGGGTCCTGAGCGCACCTGTGCAGGTGGATTTGACGATGATCCGCCTTGAGGGAGAGGGCGCAGTCATGAGTGAAGTCTCGTGTCGGTCTGCAGGTGCCGTATGTACTTAGCCGCGAGTCTTCGCGTTGCCAGCGCTTGTTCAGACTCCCGCAGTATATTTGGTTTTATGATCACAACAAGCCATGCTCACGTATAAGCACGGATGAAGTCTAGTCCTCTGCCACACGGTTATCTTTATGAGGCTCAGGAGTGCAGTTTCGTATTGAGTTGGAGGAGGAGCTCCAGCCCTCCAATGTTGCCGTACATCCCTTCCACCCTCCCCCCCCCCCCCCTCAGGGACGCAGCCAAGAAGAAGTTAAAGAGAGTTATGCCTGGGTACTCCTTCCCCTGAGCCAAGAGGTTTACACTAGGTGCTGGGCGATTTCGCAAGATTTTGAAGCAATTTTGACACTTTTTACCTCTCCCCTGATGGCGGGACGGTCCTCTGCCATTGTTTCCAGTCCGCGTATCTCAAACGGTCCGTCTGGCGAAATATCACACCGAGGCATTTGCAGAAAAGCTGACAACTTGCTGGCAGCCGCCGCAGCCACTGATGCTTTCTCCCTCGTCGTTCGAAATCGTCAGCGCGACATCAAGCGACATCAAGCGGAACCACGAGCGCAATCGCAGTCGTGACAAAGCGTGATCAGAGGGTATTGGTGCTGTCTGACCTCGGGAAATACTGGGGAGTTCCAGAATCCTGAGCGCTCGATCAAGGTCATCAGGGCCACGTGCTTAGTCAAAACGTCGAATTCGGAAATCCAGAAGTAACATATAGAGTAACGACACGAATTCCCTGAGGGTCCCAGCTGGGAAATCGCGTGCAGGCCAGTTATCGGCGCTCGTAGTTTCGGTACGTTCCCGGGTGGGCGGTCGGAACGGCACAACAGATCGGTGTCCAGCCCACCAGCGTCGCAGGCCCGGACATTGACCACCACGTGTGGTCGAGGAAGGGTGCGTGCCGGCCGGCCCGCTAGAAGGATGAGGGGAACGAGCATTAATGCGCCGCCAGCACAGCTCGGCGCCAGGCGGCTCCGCACGATCTGAGAACAAAATCTGATCTGAGATCTGAGAGCATGTGTTTACGAAAATTGGTCACCAGGCCACGAGCCGACTACTCACTAGGGGACAAGAGTTCACCGTCCCCTGGCGAATTTTTGTTAGGGTCAGAAACGAGAGATGATATTGATGCACCATCTTCAGTACATTTCCGTACATCGCCTCTGCATATATTCTCAAAAGATACATTTTGTGTTGACTATAGGTCAGACGCGAATTCGGCTTCACCCCCGGGCTTGTGCATGAACTATGAATGTTGCCAAACATCTTTGGAATTACACATTTGTTTTTCGAGGTATTTTGCATTTCTGGGTGTTTCTGCACCGCACGGGTTTGTTCACCTGCCAGTCTGACTGATAAGATTGTTGCTGATGTGTTCGTGTGTTGCGGCGCCAGTGTTTGCCTCCATTGACGATGTATTTCGTTCCGCTGATATCCCCCGTTGTTGGTGAAGCCACATTTCAGAGGTAGGGGGGGGGGGGCAAATCTAGATTGGAGGGGTCAAACTGGAAAAAACCGTGGTAGGGGGGGGGGGTAACGTTGAAGGTAACTTGACCTGGAGAAGTGACATTATACGTGGGAAAACATGAAAAACTCTGGGTCCGGCGGAGCAAAATTGATGGGGAGCAGAGCCCCTTTTTGGGAATACTGGGAGGCGTGTCCTCCTCAGCTCTCCCCTCTCATGGTTTCGCAACACATGAGTGTCACCAGCTATAGGCGACACTCATGTCACGTGTAGCTGGGTATCGCACTGTCGTTGACACTTTGATCATAAACAACGGAACCTCGTTTTCGCTGTTAGGGCTACCACTGAAGCTGCATGACGTTGCCTTGCAACAGATGTGCCTTGTGTCTCCGGTGACCCGCCGTCCCTCAGCGATACCTGGATCGCCATAGACTTCAGGCGATATAGGCATAGGTCACCGCCATTTGTGGAGGGTTCAGAGTATTACCCAGCCGGCTGGATGAGGGATGAGACTGTTATCAAGACGTCTTATGGGGAGGGCTGTCAGTAAGCAGATTCCGCTGTTCATGCGGTTACATAACGCCGAATTGGCTCGACATGGACACAAGGGTGTAGTTTTCTATTTAGCTAGGGGCTTTAGCCTGTCCCCCCAACTGGGGTTCCGGCCCCCTCAACTTTGGGGACAGTTGGCCAAATCTGATATGAAACCTGTTTGTCGGTATGTTTTGGGAGTAGGTAGAGTTTTTCACTGTTCAACCCTTGGTCATCTTGTGAAATTACGCCCATGCATGGATACAACGGATTGAGAGTCCAAAGTTCAGAGCTCTCTT